CCCCTCCCCCTCCCTCTCCCTTTGCTGGCAAGGTCTTCCCCTGTCAGTTTTAGTACATTCATAATACTGGTCATTTTCCTCTCATACATAATCAAGCCATTGAAATTTAAACACCACGATCAATGTGAAGCTTGCACTCTGGTTTAATAGAATGCCTATTGTATAAGACCCTTTATTGGTTCCATTAATGTCACATTTGTTTTAAGAGAAAACTTCTTTCATGAGGAATGCCCCACACCTGCTGATGGTAAGACCAAATCCACGGTTCCAGAAGGTCGGCAGTTCATTGACAAATCAAAGAAAAAGTGCATGATCCCTTGGACGAATTTTAGATGACTAGGGTACAGGAACATTTAAGAGCGAGACTCAAAGCAAAGCCTGCTTTTAAAAAGAAACAAAATAAGCTAGGAAACAATCCAAACGTGGTGCTGGGTAACAGCAACACCATGAAGTGTTTGAAGACCAGCAAGGAGGAAAGGGTTGAAGGGTTAAAATGCTGCAAGGTGATGATAATGGTGAGGATTTGGTAAAAATGCAGAGATTTAAAATAGACACCTTATCTCTGAGCCCAGCCCTGTCACATCAAACGGACGGCTTCGCTGTCATTTCAATGTACATTTCAAGAAAAGAAAGCAATACAATAAACTCTCTGGGAGGCAAATGTGAGGAGGCAGATTTCCCCTGCTCCTCACATTAGAGAGTTTTCAGAAAGGAGGCTTGCAAATGAGAAGGCAGCTTGCTACATATGCATGTGGTTGGGAGCTTACCAGAATTCCCCTTTCCAGCTCTTTCAAAGACCCAATGCAGTGAGTAGAGTCATTAGCTCTGTCCTGTTCTTCTGTTTGGGATTTGTCAGACTGCCCTGCTGTGTTCTATTATGTGCCCTGCACACACAGTCTCTAATGACTGACATTCCATTCAGATGCTTAAAGAGATCACATTCCAAGACACACTTTCCACCAGCAGCCTCATTGAAAAGGGAGATTTTGATAACACCTTAAATAAATGTATGAAATCAATCTTAAGGGGAGGCGGGGAGCAACCTTTTGGCAATTGTCTCTTGCTTCTCTATTGCTGACATCACAGTGTCCCTGTGTTCATCTGTATTGTGAACTCATTCATCAGTACCCTTCTGTACAGAGCCTGTTGGCAGGCTGCAGGCTTGCATGCATGTTTTTATGTCATCAGTGAAAGTTTATTGACTGCAGCACAAATATCATAGCCTCTGGGTTTCAGTAAGTTTGACCACAGTCCTTGAAGATTTTAGAAGAACATCTTCAGCCTTCCTTGTGCCTCATCCTTCAACATGAACCTCTTACAGGAGACAAGATCAGAAATGCAACAATTAGGCTATTTCATTTAATTTGCTCGCCACCTTTAACCATGTCCTTTTCTTTCAAAACAATCACTGCAGCAAAATGGAAAAAGTGAATGGCTATTTTTACCAACATTTAAAAAGATATAGTTTGAAGGCTTTAAATATGCTCAGAGGCAAAAACTAGGCAAGTTACCCTGGAATATAATTGTAAGGAAGCCCGATGACAAAAATCATAGTCTTATAACCAATCAAGCAAATAGGGACTCATTTAAAGTGGGTTTCTCATGGATATGTTGGTGTCGATGAAAATTTTAAATAGATACCAGTTCAGAAAAGTATCATTGCTACAGTCTTTGTCCATGAATAATTGTGAATATGCATTTATTAATGGAAAATAGTGGCATATCCCCAATTGATTAATAATGCAGATCATTCCTTGCAGTTCTATGATCTGAATAGCTGAGCCTACTGTGATGTGTGTCACTGAAGTTGTAATTTCATATTTTTCACTTGGCAGTAAATACACATTCAATCTAAAAAAGAGATGGTCCTTGGTTAGCCTCATTTTGACTGTACTAAAGATGATTGTATTAATTAAGTAGAGTGTTCAAGTGAAAAACCCCATTTTTATTCTTTGATGATCTTCTGCCTCATTTGTGATCAATATAAAAAATACTTAGGCAAAACATATTTATAGTTATATTTTTGAATACTTGCAAATTTTTAATGCTGTGGTGCTACTAGGATATATAAAATGTGCTTGATGTATTAAACAGTGTTTCTCAGAATCAAAGTCAGTTGGTATGTGAGATGTAATACAAGATTAAATGAATGCTCAACATTTTGAGGGCCGATCATTTTATAATGCCTAACTTTCACTACCTGTGTACCTAAAATAAGAAGAACCCAAATAAATCTCTTAAATAGAACATGCATTTTGATTCAGGACATGATATTGCAAAACACAAAATAAAAGGTTATGTTTCTCCCTTTGGGAACGAGTTGTCTCCAGTGTCCAGTATCTTCTGAACAATAATAACATCTTTCTTGTAGGTTAGATCATAACTAGCTCCCCACCACACATTTCACCAAGTTAACTGGTGAAGAAGGTGCTCCTGCTTCAAAGTGGTTGCCACCACCCTGTCCCCCAGAGCACTGTCCACCACCCTGTCCCCCAGACAACATGTCACGATCTTTTACACTCATTGCATATTAGAGAAATAGAAATGAGATTCCATTTCTCAGAGCAAATGTATGTGTGAAGTATTTGATGTCCCTCAAAAGTGACGGGTAAAATCAACAGCGTGACCTGTTGTTGATGAATGCAACAGAGGCTCCAAAATGCAGAAGGAATTCAGTCAGCACTTTGAATGCGCTGCAGAACAGAAAAGAAATCAAGCTCAATATCTTTAAACTACAGGGAGACGTTCATTTTTGGTTTGGGTTTTTCCTCATTTTAGTAGCCTCAGGAACACACACAGCTACCACAACACAGAGTTAATGGTCCCACCGCCACAGTCCTCTAAGCGCTAGTTTTACAAGATGTACTCCTTTTTAAATGAGTTTGTATTTTCCAGGATGTTGACATTACATTTTTTCAAAGAATTTAAGCCATGTTTTTTTCAACTTCATTGGGTAAGTCAACTACCTAAGTAGACCAACAGGCCGGAAGCTGTCTTTCTGCGGAGCAGCAGTGACCTCCAGTGGTTGACTATATAAACCTCAGCGGTTCACACAGATTTTAGCTTTTAATCTTCAGTCCTGATATAAATGTAAGTTACATCATCTATCTCCTGATCTGTGCATCCAATTTGAATTCCATTTGGTCCATTTCCCTAGTAAATGTACTTACAATGTAATTTTTGAAACTTATATCTGCATATTGACTTAAAAAAAAAGCCAGACGAACAGGCCCTGAGCACTAGAATTGAGTGTCCAAATATAGCAGTAATCGTGTAAAAACATCTCTATGAAATGTCCTAATGTTTTTATATGCATTTGTGATGTACAAATATTCCAATAGCTTCATTAAGTGGGTTAATATTTTCCAGTGGGTAGGATACGGTAATCGAATTTAAGATGGAAAAAACAAAATCCAGTATTAACACTGAAGGGATCAGCATCAGATATGTCCAGGTGGGTCAGAGTATCTAAGTTATCCATTCAGGAATCCCCCCCTTCTGGCTTCAGGACTCTCCAACTTGTTGATGCTGCCAGTGACCTGGGCTTCGGCCTGGCCCCCGGGCCCTCTCCCTCTTCCCAAGTCTTCAGCCAGCTGACCTCTTGTTCTGTTCGGCTCTCTGACAATGATGGTACAGTCTCAGAGGTGATGATTCATGGATAATGAAATTAGGCTCTCCTTTGGGGCAAGGATAATGCAGAGACAGAT